ACTCTAGTGTTAGTTAGTTATTAACTTAACTTAAACTTAATTTAATTTATTACTACTAACTACTTAACTAATAACTAACAACACTAATAATATACTACTACTCTCTCTCTCTCTCTCTCTCTCTCTCTCTCTCTCTCTCTCTCTCTCTCGCTCTCTCTCTCTCTCTCTCTGTGCAAGTGTGTGTGCTGCACGTACTCCCTCCCTTCCCATGAATGTGCGTGTGTGATAGTGTGTGCGCTGCATGTATGCGTGTGTATATGTAGAGAGGGAGAGCAGCAGAGTCTCACCTCATTTCCATCTGAGGCTACATGGTTTCCAGGACAAAGGTTCTGGTCGATGTTTTCTGACAAGATCATAGTAGGCACAAGCAATTATTTAGACCTTAACTATCATTATCTGACTTACTCTTGATTTCTGGGGATTTTCTCTCACAAGCCAAATTGGGGAAGCAGCAAGAGCTTCTTCTGGGAGCATGAAAGTAGAAGAATTTGAATGAGGATTGCCTAAGAATGACCTGGGAGTCACCTTGTATAAAAACAGGAATGACAACACTGAAGAACAATCAGGCTACTGAGATTTCTCTTTCTTTTCTTTTCTGTTATTTTGATTCTTGTGTATGGGTGTTGTTCTAAATATTTCCAAATCTACAGGGTTTGTGGAGTTGATTCTGTTTCAAGGTGATAGTTCTCCTAGGCGCGCACATAAACACATCTAGAGAAGCTATGACTGAGTGATAGCACCATGTTGTTTGTCATTGTGATCAAAGTAGCATAGCTCAAAAGAATAGCCTAGTGGCATCTGCTGGTGCACCATCCACTCTCGTTTGTACTTGTGCCCTCTGACATTTCCGCATTGCCTTTGTAAGAAACTGTAAGAAAATATTCACAATCTAAACATCCCTCCGAAATATTGCAACATTTGTAGGACGTAGATCCATGGTGATATGGTCTCAGTACCCTCAGCAAACTACCTCAAAAAGTACATGGAGCAGTGTATCACTTTGAAATTTTGCAACCACTGGTAAACAATGCACAACATAAGATAACAAGAACTATGTTCAAATCCATTTATATAACTAAGAACTGGAAAAAATCCATTTACATAATTAAGAACTGGAAAAAAAAAAAAACAAAACAAAAACAAAAAGCAGGAGAACAGGCAGAGGCACTTGTATAGGAGGTTCATGCAGTTCGACTGGTGGCAACAAGCTAATAAGGCTGCAGATAAGACAATAGGCTGAGAACTACAATCCATACAGCATTTTCTACACCCAACCGTCTTTAGCAATAGAAATGTAACATAATCTATGGAAAGAACATGACGATTCCCATATGCGCATTTAAACATGTGCATTTTGAAATCACCCAATAAATTTGGGGAGACCAGTGTTTCAAAAAGCGCTAGGCGAGTCCTAGGCGGCCTAGGGGGTCCAGGCCACCCAACGCCTAGGTGGGCCCCAGGCGGGCACCCAGAACCTGGCGGCCCACTCGAATCCAAAAAATATTTGAATAAAAAAATGATCTATTGTATAAAAAATAAAAATTAGGTATTTAGGGAGTTTGATTGCTCAATCTTCAAACTTCCATCTCAAAGATGCTTCTAAGGACTCAAAATCTTCTAAAAAAAACCCCAATAGATTTATAAAACATCAAAAATTAAATCTAATACAATGGGTGATGTTTTGATCAATTTTTATCAACTTTGAGAAACCCTTCGATCCTAAAGAAATCACCAAAACTAGTGTTTTGGAGGCTTTCTCTCTCTAAAATGGGCTCCAATAAGTTTTAGGTTTGCCCAGAGGCGGAAAATTTTTTTTTTGTATTGATTTTTTTAAAAAAATATAAAGGGTTAGAAGGATGGTTTTAAGTTCATTGCGCCCGCCTAGGCGGGTTTCATACTGTCTAGGCGGCCACCCAGGGACTGCCGCCCAGATTGGTCGCCTTGGCCTAGGCGCATGCCTAGGCGTTGGGCGGTCCGCTTTTTGAATCACTGGGGTAGACAAATCAAAGAGGCAACATGGATTTCTAAAAAAGTGTGAGTTCACATAAACATTGGAGGCCAATGTAGACAACTCATAGAAATCAGTCTATGTTCTGTTTCATTTCTGATGCATACAACAAAAGAAATTTCTCACAGCAAATCCATTACAGATTGTGTACCAATTCCTCTGGAGGAATAATACATGAAAATGAACCACAAGGAAAATGATTCAAACCTTATTGATGTTTCTAGCAAAGTTTTTGCCTTATCAAGTTCTGCAATTTCCTCCAAAATGTTACCCTTACTTAGACGACTGGATTTGAGCATTGCTACTCTAGCCAACTGAAGAATATTTGCAGCAACCTATAACCACAAAACAGCAGTGTCGCTCACCTGATTTCTATTCATTTGTATAAATATATTCTGAGAAATTTTCTTGGCGTATAAAGATGTTAAAATAAAAATAACATAGAGTGGAAAGGGCAACGTAGGTCATGCATGAGCATGCAATGGAGTGAGACTACAAAGAGAAATCAATAAGTAAACCATATGCTTCTACTTGCATTGGCAATGCGGATGAAATAGAAAATGGAAAATCTCAGACGAATTCATATATATTCAACTTTGAGTTCCTTGTTCCCATGAAGCTCTTGTAGGAAGTTTGTGACCTCCAAATGCATTTTCAGTTGATTTTGCCTTTGAACCAGTCCAAATTAATTATAATCAAATAGTGTCCATGCCTGTTATCCTTGATTAGCATGCATACTAGCTTCAGGGATGCACATTCTTCGTTTCCAAGGTTGCGAATAGCTAATACCAGACCGATACTGTATGGACTGGGTTGTAAGGTTTGACTAGTATATATTATGTCTAGTATGTTTTCCTTAGGCTGCCAAGGACATTGTGGTTTGACAACTTTCCAAAGTCCACCCAATATACAATTCGGTGCCTTTTTGAGGAGGCACATGCTTACAGTCTTACAACTTGTATTGTTTTAACAATATCTCAGTGTGATGATACTGAGTTAGTCACAGTAACTGGGATCCCCTATCTCACGCAATCTTGACACCAAAAATATATACTCTCTCTCTTAAGTCCTTAATATCAAATGTGGACTTCATCCATTTTTTGATATGAATCAAGAACTAAAATTTAGTACCTGCTAGTAACATGCTATCCACATAAACTGCAAGCAAAAGAATAGAACCCACATTTGTTTCCATAAACAATCAAAGATCTGCATCGCACACTTGAAAACCAAACTTGAGGATTTTAGAGGTGAATTATTGGTAACAGTTCCAGGATGCTTGCTTCAACCCGTCTTGATAAATTAGCACACCATATGTTCCTCGCCTTCCTTGGCGAATCCTTCTGGTTGCTTCATATAAACTTCTTGATCAAGATCTTCATTCAAAAGGCTGTCTTCACATCCAACTATCCAATTCCATATCAAGAAAAGCAACATTAATAACAAAAATCCGAACAGTCCTAATGCTTGTAACTGGCTAGGAACTGTAAAAGAAGTTAACAAAATGTTTCTAAGGAAGGCCGTATAACTATCAATGCTAACATTTGGATACAACTTTTCAGAAGCCACTTGCATCTGACCAGTTCTACTCCTGTTGGTGCATCTACCAATTCTCGAGCTCCATGGTTCATAATAGAATCCATCTCCTTATGTGAGGCTTCCTTCCATTTGTCACAACCGGGAGACTCCATGGCATCACATTAGGTCAAGGGATTGATCATTTTGGAACTCGGCAAGGAAGGAGAAGAAATATGGAGGTCTACAAACTCTAGTACTCCTCAAAGATGGAGATACAATTGGAGGATCATAAGGAATAGAAGAAGAGAATATGGTTTCAAACTCATCAAGAACCCTAATATCTTCAAATTTCATCCTTTAGAGGGACCCATAAATTCATCCTCAAGAAATGAGCATCCTGACTAATAATCAACTTAATAGTCTCCAGATATACAAATTTGTAACCCTTTGTTCCAATTTCAGACCCATTGAAGACACAACAAATGGCTTTAGGATCTAACTAGCATCTTGGATGACATGGGATACGAACATATGCAACACAACCCCAACTTGACGTAACTAAGATTAGGACTCCTACATGTTTATTTTCCATAAGAAAAACATAGATAAGGTTCTAGAAGGAATAAGATTAAGAACATGATTAGCACCCAATAGTGCTCAATTCCAAAGATTGCAATCGAGGCTAGAGGAAAGAAGTAGGCATCAAACAATTTCAACTAGGGTTCGGCTTTTATATTCCGCAAGACCATTTTGTTAAAGAGTATAGGAAAAGGTGTTTAGATGAATGATGATGCCATGTGCCTTAGAGGAACTATCAAATTCACTTGACATATATTCTCCACACCAATCACTTAGCACTTGGATCTTCCTTCCCAACTGATTTCAGCCTCTGATTTATATTCATGAAATTCTGAAAAAAAATCTACAGACGTGTTTGAACGGATATAAAGAACAATATGTGGAACAATCATCAATAAATGTGATGAAGTATTCAATAGTCCAACTTGTTCTTGAAAGTTTCTCTTGTATAACATGATGCACTACTTCTTACACAAACCAGACTTAAAAAGAATCTTAGAAATATCTGTGGCCAAGATCCAAAGTTTCTCTTGGGACCTGCAGGCAAGATCCAATGTTTTGCGTACAATATCTGTCATGCTTGATGAGTATGACATGTTTGTGCCTAGTTCAAATCAAAAGTATCATGGATTATTAAAATGATGAGGTCTTTCATTTGATGTTATTTTTCTTTCTTTTTTCTTTTGAATAAATTTCAGTTTGCATATGACACTCCGCCATGCCTATCTTCAGCTGGATCATTTTTCCTGCTACTTGATGCAAATCAATGGGGTATGAAACTAAGTTCAAGAAGTTAGAAGCCCTTAACGGTTCCAATCAGACACTATCAATAAAAACTAGGATAGGTTCGTGGGAGCAAAATTCAAGGTGCTTGTTGATTTAGTGAAGGAATAAGGGTGTTTATCGGCTTCCTTGGGGAGAGGTTTTCTTCTGGGGGCTTGGTAATTCCATAGAGAACCAGTCTAATTTCAATATCTTTATCTTTTCCTTATTTTACGTAGTGAGAAACTTCATTGTTTCTCACAAGGGACAGAAGTCTACATTTACCAATTTTAGAACCAGGTTACATACCACCATAATCCTGGAAGTTCTATTCATTTCATCTGTGATTCTTTGAGCCAATGTTCTTGAAATACCCATATAAAATATGTGGTAAAACACAGGGTGGAGATCAAATCAAATGTGACACTCAAATTTAAATTTCTGATGGATCAGCAAATAGTGTGCATTCATGAGTTCAAGCCAAATGTAAAGTTTTATAATGAAATACACAAAATTAATTTCCTTAATAAGTCTACAGGTCACATATTTAATTCTGATAGAATCGACATGAGAAGTTAAAAAGAGAGAGATCTCTAGAAAACCTGGATATGGTTCTCATGAAGAATAGTTTTTCTGGCATCAAGGCACCTAAAAAGACAGTCATGAAGTAATGATCAAGAGATTTCAATAATGAGCTTTAGCAGATGGAAAAGAAATGACTAAAATAAGAGAAAGCATGATGCTCAAACTGGAATGCAACTCACCTTTCCAAAAGGTCTTGTGCCTCAGATAAATTCCCTAGTGATTGGAGAGTCATAGCCAAACTTTCAGCTGCCAGCACAGTGTCCAACGAAGTCCAACCCTAGAATGAAAACAATTTAGTGCGTAAAGGCAACAGCTCGTACTAAAGTACGTCATATGGACAATGGCAAGCAGGTAGTAACCAAATAAGTTTAGATGGAGATCCATCACATTGATTTTGAGATGCTAACTCGAAGAGAAACAAGATCACTTAAGGGGTGGATGTGTTTGGCATGTGGAGAAATTAAAAGAAGCAAGATAAGGTCATTGAAAATCAGGTTTTTTATGGCAATGAAACACAATCAAAATGCGATTCGAGAATATAACAAGTGTAATGAAAAATCAAGGTAACTACATATTATATGCCAGTCCGAATAGATATGATAATCTCAAGGGATATAGCATATTGTAACACTACATAAAGGAGAAGCACAACAAGAGAAGCTAGAACAAAAAACTTAACATGACTATTTGGACGTGTGGCTAGTTGGGGTTACGAGGCCATTTAAAGGCCTTATGAGAGTATGTAAAAAACTTCACTCTATTGGGAATAAGGATCCAGTGGGAGCGAGGGAGGCATTTTTGATGTTGTGACTCACCTGAGGTTGATGAGCTAGGCCCCAAATGATGTCTAAAACCTTTCACCCCTGGGCATATGGTACAACCGAGGAGGGCTAGTACGGCCATCCCTTGATGAGGTCATAAAGAAGCCCAGGGTGGTTGGCCAAGGGACTGTGTGACCCTTGTGTGCGGTTGGCTGGCCTAAGGGGACAAGGGCCAAAATCCAAGTCATTACCATCGCAAGGCATGTACACAAGATAGCCACCTTGAAAAGTGACCCATTAGTGATGTGCACGTGCAAAAGATGACTCCCTATACCATTGTGATAATGTGCGAAAGTCCTATAGGACTTGGCCTTGGACTTGGACTTGGACTTGCCCTGGGGGGCAACCTAGAAGGTATGATGTGTACATGTGTAGAGAAGAGATGACTCCCTGCACCATTGCGATACTGTGCGAAAGTCCTATAGGACTTAGGCTTGCCCCGGGGGGGAAACCTATAATCCATGGACTAAATCCATGTTCTCTTCATTTATTGACTGACTTTGATGAACCAATCATGAACTCCTATGATGGAATGTTGGTCATGAGTTCTGTAGAGTTAAGTTTGAGAAAATGACTGTTTTGATAGTTGTTAGTATAGAAGGAGTGCCTAAGTAAATTCTCATGATTCTTGACCCGATGGATCCAATTCCAGTTATATTATATTTAAATATGTTTTCTTTGAATTATGGAAGATTAAACTGAGTTTTTAAAATGTTTTGTATATTGTATATTATTAAAACTAATTTTTATATAGTTAAAAATGGATTTTTTAGCTTTTTATGAATTCAAAGCTATTTTAAAAATATTAAATAAATTTTAACTATATATACTTGGCTAGATCACATTGTCCATCTTTCATTGGTATCATAGCAGGTTGAAGAAGATCTTCAACCACACCGCTTCTTTCACAGTTAGACAATGTAGCCACATTTTGATGGAGGGAAAAATTGTTCATATTCTTTATTTTTATTCAATTTTAAAGGATGTATATTATAGTTTGCTTTTAGGGTTTTTAGTTTCTAGGGTTTTTATATTTTTTTGTCTATTTCAATAGAACTACAAGTATTATTAATGAGTTTAATTGAAGGGTACTATGCACAAGTGTAAATTTGTCATACGAAATTTAAGTTTAATTTAGAATATGTACCTCATTTTAACCATTGTATGCACATGGAATGTCCTAGAACATTAAATTATAATATATAAGGTGTGTGGGACCTTGAGAGGGTCAATTCCTTAAGATTTTTAGAAATTGAAAAAGTGAAAAGCTTAGGCTCTTAGAACCCTAACTTGGGTTATGGAGAAGAAACCCTAGGTTTCTTCTACTTGTGCTTGTGTTCAGCTTTGTTTCTTGTTAATTTTACTATTTCCTCAAAATTCTCCTGCATCAAGTGGTATCAGAGCCCGTGATCTATACGAAGTACTGTAGCAAGTACGAAGTACTGTAGCAAGTACGAAGTACTGTAGCACTTACGAAGTTATTGTAGCAACACTTTTTTTAGTGCCCTAAATCAACAACAAAGAGGAGAAGGTAAAGTGGCGTCTAGGGTCTGTTGATTTTGGCTAAAGTTTTGCCAAAACAACCTAGATCTTGCTTATTTTAGCAATTTTTGTTGATTATTTGCTTAGGATTTGTGCTTTCGACTAAACTATGACAGCTAGAAGGGGGGTTTTCGTAGATCCACTATGTGATCCCATAGATGACAGAATTGAAGAACTTGAAAGGTAAATACAGCAACTGGCGCAGTAGTTCGCGAGCCTCAATAATGGGCAAGGCGGTAATCTTTCAGCCCAAGATGAACTCGAGCACATGCCTTTTCACTTTTGCGCTCTGCGTGTGGAGTCGAGTGATGAGGATAGCGATAGAAGACCTAGATGTGGGGAACATCACTCTAGGATTTTCGATTTAGAAGATAAGATTTTTTATTTTGACACAGATTGCATGGAAAGTCAACAAATTGTAGATTGGGATTCACCATCAAACTTCGACATATATACAGATGAACAACAAGATTTCTTAAGAGATCCAATCAATGATATGGATCACGATGATGGTGAAGATATTTTGGAAGTTAATCTGAAAGATGCACTCCTGGTGTGTTCTATAGCTAAGCATGGGCAAATTCAGCAGGGTCACATGGTTGAAGTGATGCAAATTCAACAAGTTTATGTGATTCAAAAAATTCTATTGATATATAGTGACCCTTCCCTCGAGGGTTTCTCAGTTCTAATGAATAATCATCGTGTTTTGATCAGTGCAGTAACCCACAAGTCCCAAAATCATGTTTGCAATATTCAAGTTGAAGAATGTTAGCAAATTAACACCAATTCCATCTTAGCACACTTTGATGATGAGTTTTCTCCAACCAAGGGAGAATGATGGAAGAAAAATAGTTCTTATTCTCTATTTTTTTTCAACTTTAAAATATGTATATTATACATTGCTTTTAGGGCTTATATTTAGGGTTTTTAATTTTTTTATGGATTCTAGGGTTTTTATATTTTTTTTGTTTATTTCATGGGAAGTATTTACAAGTACTATTCATGAGTACTATTCACATGGGTAAATTTGTTATTAAGAAATTTAAGTTTAAGTTAAGATATATAAATCATTTTAATCATTGTATGCACATGTAATGTCCTTGAGCATTGAATTATAATATATAAGGAATGTGGGGCCTTGAGAGGATCAATTCCACATGATTTTTAGAAATTTAAAAAGTGAAAAGCTTAGGCTTTTGGAGCCCTTGCTTGACGTATGAAGAAGAAATCCTAAATTTCTTCGACTTATGCTTGTGTTTAGCTTTGTTTCTTGCTGATTTTACTGTTTCCTCAAAATTCTCCTCCATCACATTTTCGGGCTCCAAGGTTTTAACACCTCAATATGTTTTTTACTACTCCACTAAGCATAAACAAATTCTCGCACTGGGATATTAAGTTATCGGGATCCCTTTTAGCAGTTCATATATTATATAGGAGAAAATTATTCTTATTTTTAGTTGTTATGCAATTTCAAAAGATGTATATTTTAATTTAGTTTTAGAGTTTTTAAGTTTTTTTAGGATTTTATGATTTGTCTTATATTTTCATTTATTATTTATTGTTTCCTATTCATGAGTAATTTCATGGGTACTATTTACGGGTACTATTCATGGGCTACTGTTCATAGGGTAAAATTGCCGTTATAAATTTTGTGTTTAAGAACTTTTGGGCTATTTTATTTATTGTATGAACATTTAATGTCTTTAATATTAAACTATAATATATAAGAGGTAGTGAGGGCTTGAGGGGGTCATTCCACATGATTTTTAGAAATTAAAAGCAAAAAAAAAAGCTTAGGATATTGGAAACCTAGCTTGGGCTATGGAAAAGAAAACATACGTTTCTTGGACTTGTACTTGTGTTTGGCATTTTCCTTGCTGATTTTACCGTTTGCTTCAAATTTCTCTACATCAAATTTCTTTACATCAATTTGGATCAAAGCTTAGGGTTTCTTCAACGACAAAGCCATGAAATTACATACAAGCCTAAGGTTTGTTGGTTATGGGCTAAGTTTGCCAAATCAGCCTAGATCTTGATGTTGTCAGCGAGTTTTTGTTAATTATTTGTCTAAGGTTTGTGATTTCGACGAATCCATGGCAGCAAGAAGGATTGTGTAAGGGGGGTTTCGAAGATCCACTTTGTGATCCGAAAGATAAAGAAATTGATGAACTTAAAAAGCAAGTTCAGTAGCTAACGCAATAGTTTGCAAGCATCATTCATGGGAAAGACGGTGATCTTTCTTGTCTAAGAAAAAATGTCGAGCATAACCCTTTTCACCTCTATGCTTTGTGTGAAGAGTCGAGTGAAGAAGAAAGAGATAAAAGACCTAGGGTCAGAGTACTGAAGAGGAAGCATGGTCAACTCATAAACCGCAAATCATGGCCTTGGTTTCAGAGTGTAATGAAATTGGTGCAGAGAAAGCTCTATTTTTCTTCTAAGACAAAAACATATAGAGAGACAGAGGTAGCATGCCTCTATTTGGTTGAGAGAGACGTGAGAGAGAAGGTGAAGAGAAAGTGGCGTGATGGAGAGAGACAGATCCCATTTCGCAAGTGAGAGAGAGAGATCCCCCAATTTGGTGCGGGAGAGACGATCTTTGAAAGAGAGAGAAAAATCTTGTGATGGATCTCAAATAGGTTCAAACTTGGTCTTTAAATAGAAGAAAATCTAAAAAAAAACTATCTCCTAGTTTGAATAAGATTTGCCCAATCCAACTTTCAGCTGAACCTTTTAAGATAAATAGGAAATTTGTAGGGTGAGAAATTAATTACAGTCATCCATCCCAAAAATCAATCATCATGATGTTGGATGGAAAGATTGAGAACGTTATCCTCTTACACCTTGACCCAATCCACTCCTATTTAAAATAAATCCAATCAAATTTAAACTTTATCTTTTTAAATTTGAAATCAAGCTTAAATATTTTTTAGATAAATATTATCTAGATCTAGATCTCCCAAAAGATATAAGACGCCAAATCTTATTAGATTTTCCATCTTAGTTTAAATTTTAAACCAAATCAAAAAAAATTTAAGAAAGTGGGGCATGCCCACCTTTCTACTAAAATAAATGTGTCCCTTTTTGTTATCATATTTGGGTATACCACCCCTTCCTCCTAAAAATAGGGCATAGCCCTTTATGTTTCAAATATTTGGCCGTGCCACCTTTTAGCCAAAAAGGTGGCGTGCTCCCCCCTATAGCAAGAAAATAGGGTGTGCCAAAAATGCTGTACAAAAATAAGGTGTGATCCCTACGATGTACAGGGACTCACATGTGGGGCTTGATCCTTAGTTCCATATGTGTTATTTTTGAAGTTTTAAAACTTTCAAAAATACCCTTTTATAAAAATTTACAGCAAAAATAATATTTAAAAATTTCAAAAAAGATTTAAAAATCAAAAAAACATTTATAATACCATATTAAAATATGCTAGGAGCAACAACAAGGGCATTCCACTCGCCCCAGAAACCATGATCTATAACTGTTCTCTTATCCAACCCAACAAATTCTCATGACCCACAGTCTCTTTGAAGGGGCTCATGATTGCCTTGTCAAAGTTGGATAATAAACAATGGGACCATGATCCTGGAATGTAAATTTCAGTTCCCCCTTTAAGAGCAAGTCCAGCACTTGTCACTACAGTACAAAAGAGACTCTCTCAATGCACATGTACACTTGTCCCTCTAAAGGGCTGCTTTCCACAAGGCTGTCATGTGTACATGTAGTGTGGAAGTTTGTTGAGGATTTGACCCTTGCTCTCACAGACGTACAACTATACACAGGAAACGACACAGTTCTCCTGGCCTACAAACATGATCTCTAGGTATCTCTTCGACCTCAACAAGGGATGACCGACTTCAAATTCTTCTCAATTGTGTCACATGATAAGACCAAGGATATAAATTGCCCAACCCCTGGTCAAACAACATACACACTCCCATTGAAGTGTATATTTCACTACACATCATTTTCACAAACTCTCTAAGCCTTTAAAGGCCACAAAAACCCAACATCTCTTGTTGGCCAAAGGCTTCTTCAATTTATTAATGCCAACATTATACTCTCTTTTGCAAAATTTGCAAGCTACCGTTTTCTTGTCATTATGATTGGGACAATGTCCATATTTCCAACCCAGATCAGCTTGTTTTCTTGAACTCGAGGATGACATTTTCACATACAACCCTTAGCTATCAAGTATCAACTTATCACCTAATTCTGAAAATTACACAAAAACAACAAAGTCAAACTTAAATACAATTACAAGAAGTGGAAATTGTAGATACATACACAAAAGCAAGATTAATTTACAACTACATAGTCTAAATATTTGAAATTTCAAATTAGTCATCCAAAGAATATTAAATAATAAGCATCTAAAAAACTAGATATAGGAAATGAAGTAGAAAGAATTATTACATTGACCCTTTAATATATTGTGTTCTTAACAATCCAAGGAAGAAGTAAAGCTAGCATGGTCAAGGCACAAAAAAAAAAAAGGTAAAACCTATACATCAAAATTACATTGATTTAATGCATAAAATCGAAACAACATATTCCTCATGCAATTATCTAATAACGCAATTATTAAACTAACTCATGAAAACAAAATTATGGGAATAAATGAATCTTACAAGTGAAGTCAGGCATAATAAAATAAAATAAAATTTATTCATTTGGTTTGGGGACAATGGGATTTTTCCATTGAATTGCTTTCCCAAACTAAATATTAAAATGAGAGAATAATCCAAATAGTTGATAACATCAAGTATATATCATAAAGTATCAAAAGGAAAATACAAAAAGCAAAGAACAACATCATAATACATTTTACACAAAAAGAAAATGCATAACCTTAATTAGAAGTATTGAAATATACCAACCTTCTTAAAATGGAGTCAATATCAGGAACGTTTAGGTTCCCAAATCTCCTATTTTACAATCACTCTAAGCCTCAAAAAGATTCGGGGTGAATATCTTTTGATTTTGTGAGCATTCAAGGAGGTTGAAACAAACATTTCAATCTCTTGACAAATCTTCAAATCTTGTTCTCTAGAGGTTTCTCTCTCTAAACCTTAATAGAAAGGTTTTGAGGGGAAGAATGACCACCAAAACTCTTTTCTCCCCTTTTGGAGAGAAAAATGTCGAAAATACCCATTGCTCAAGGGGCATTTTCCGCCCCCGGCCTCAAATTATTGAGGTGGTGTGCCTAGGAGGGAACCTTAATACACCCAAGACCTACCGCCTAGGCCACGCCTAGGAGGTTTGAGAAAATGGCCACCTTGGCAGCCGAATTTTTGTACATTCATCACAAATATAAAGAACCATAACATCAATTTGATGTATTCATTTTGCATTAGAGCACCCAATCTTGTGGGTTGCCTAAAGGGAGCATTTTTGCACTACACCTATGATATTTAGTAGCACAGCTAACACTCTCTCAAAGGGGGAAAAACAAAGTAAAAACAGAAAATCATTAAATTGCTGGTTAAAACTGCAGCATAGCAAAAACTTACGTTGAATTTTGCAGCAGCAAAACCAACAAATGAATCGACCCTTGGAAGATTCCAAAGTTGAAAATGGAGACAGAAAACTACAAACAGTTTATCTGAGAAAGAAGCATTCAATTTTGTGATAAGTAGTGATGAAAACCCCAATGACTTAAGCTCAAAACTAACACGAGTCATTGACACCGGCAGGGTACAGGTCCAGATGAAATACCCTGAGACTAGGGCCAGTCTCACCAAGTAATGACCTTTATCAGTATTTTTTCATATAGACACCAAATCGGTCCATCAACTTGGCTGAGTCAGACTGCTGGACTGCGTTCAGGACCAGGGTAAGTCCAGCCCAAGTCTATGCTTTTAATTGCTGGCAATAAGAAAGGCAATTCTGAATTTGAGGAATCCAACGGCTTGGAGGAAGATTAAGTATACAAATCTACTATTCAATTTCATCATTACTTTTTACTGTTACTTATGAAAAAATAACATCAGCATGGTTTTTTACCTATTGATATATCCAATGTTACAACTTTGAGTTGGCAAATTAAACATTAAATGACCATATAAAAGGCAAGCGCACTAAAGTCGTATTGTCCTAGTAAATGTATGGCTAGCACTTTGGCAGGTCATTTGCAAAAGGAAACTAAGCATATCAGTATCACTGAAAAAGTCGCTTAGTCATTACGTGTGACAAAATCACTAGGTTCATCTGCAATTGTCATTTCTGAGACTTCTCCATTCAAATCTTCAGTCCTCCCATACAAAAAAAGTTGAAGCTGGACATCATGATCATTTCCAATTCTAGGGGGCGATGATTTCCAAATCCATCAACATACACCAGCAGTTCATCTTTATCAAACTGAAACCGTTTGCTTAAAATATGCATCTCATGATCAAAAAAGCTAAATAAAGATTGTCATTCACCAGTTATCCACCTAATATGAAACAAATCGGTATGGAAAGTATGAATAGATAAGATCAAGAAAGTAGCCAATACCATGGTTCTTTGCATTATTTTGATAACACATATGCCATAAAATAAAAGCAACAAAAATACAATAGCAAAAATATCATACCTTAGAAAGCTCCAATACATGAAGGATCTTTCTTTGAATTTTCTCCGCTTCATGAAGTTGATTTGATTCGAGTAAAATCTATAGAACAACAATAGAACACAATTTTCCATTAAGTAAATACACCTAAAAACGTTCCAAAAAAATTTGACTTTTTTCAAAAGAAAAAACCAAATCCACCACAGAAGCTATTCATTAAAGCAGTAGACCTTCCACGACGTACAAGACATAAATAATTCAGAACAATTTGTCAGGAATGGTGTTGCATAGCTGAGCAAGTTATTTTGGCAGTGTCACAAGGTCCAAGTGTCAAATACTCCAACATTCGGACTTAAAAAGCTTGAAGCAGAAGTAGAAGAATAAAGCATAAGAGGAAGAAGGCATCCAATTACTCTAAATCAAGCACAAACTATTGAATTGTAAAATCATATATGCCCTTGATTTAAATTTATATGAGCCCCGTTAGTTAAATTTTATTAAAATCAAGTATTCATGTTTTAATTGTAATCCAAAATGAAAACTGCCATCTCCCATACCACACATATGTATGGATCATCTTATCTTCACCAAACCAACACAAAAAAGCAATGCATAGAATTTATAAAACAGATACAACATGCAAAACCTGGGCAAGACGCCTCATTCTTTTGATGCATGTAACTGACTCCCCCTTTCCTGCTTCCTATAAAATTCAGCGGCGACCATCTATTAGCAATGCACCCGCACACACATATAGGACACTAAAAAACCGGCAATTGTTAGTAATGACGAACGGCAGCACAAACAGGACAACCTCCAATATTTTGATGGAATCCCTAATAAGAGCTTCAGAATCTTTCAATTTTCCCTGGAGATAAAACACCTAGAAAGCAAGCAATTTTGTCAGAGCTCCTTCAAAGCAATGGTAAAGGAGGAAACAGAATAATCAAACCTTTATTGATTAGAAGTGCAGTTCATCACAAGGATAAAATAATGTAAGTGCATAATCATTGTCAATTTCATCATCAGAGCTCGACCAAATGATCAACTATTAAGAGATAAATAAGTATGTGAAAAAGGTTACATATTGTTAAATTAAGAAATGGATATGTTTATGTTTTCTGGCAAAATACAATGGACTTGTTTCTCATTCAACTTTGCAATTGAATGATAAAAAAACTGAACAATAACCATATTACAAAGATATTACTCTTTACACCTACAATTTATGAGACATTAAAATATAAAGTCCATTGGAATTACCAATGAGATACATGAACAGTGTTCTCAACAAAAGCAAAAAAGTAAAGATAATGCATGGATAAATGGCTAATGCATGGATAAATGGCTAACTTGATCTTGGAGGACAGTTCATTTGACAAATAGGAAATCATACAATATGGAACCATCGGAAGAGATGACTTTAAAACAAATTCTAAGAACATTACTCATTAATTCATATTTAGGTTTTCAAGGAACATAGAAACAAACCATAATTCTCCAGAGGAGAGAAGATACAAAGGATTTCAACAGAGTCCATGAGCACTTAAATATAATGGTCCCAAAAAAGAGGATGATGATTTCAAGGAATGTGAAAGATGGATTAACAAATCTTTAATCAGATCAGTACAACAAGATCTCAGACACCAACAGTCCAACTAGATACAATCACATTTCATCATGTCTCCAAGTTAGAAGCATATTGACAATATATGTCACTTAATCATTAAGCAAGTATATTAGATTCTAAACTTAATAGTCAAGTTACATCAAAACTATAATAACAACTTTCAAGAATAGACACCAGACAACACATAGTCATATTACTTAGGTGCTAAGAAAGTATATTGGATTCAAACTTACTAATCCAAATCACAAGAGAACTACAATAACAGCTTCCAAAAATAAATCATCATCATCATAATCATATGTGCCTTATCCCAACTACTTGGGGTTGGCTACAGAATCCTATTCCGCTATTCTCCTCAATCAATTGACATATCCTCAGTCAAACTATAAGTCACTATATCTCTTCTCAGTACTTCCATCCATGTCCTTTTGGGCCTTCCCCTTGCCCTTTTAGAGCTTCCACTTGAACTAAATCACCCTTCCTAACCATGCTATATTAGGTCTATGCTGCACATGGCCAATCCACCTAAGTATTATTTCCATCATCTTATCGCCTATTGGATTTACCCCTAAGTTCCCTCAGATATATTCATTCCTAATACTATCCTTTTTTGTCTTTCCACTCATTCATCTCAACATCCTCATCTCAGCTACATTTATTCTATGAGCATATTGTTTCTTAACCGCCTAATATTACATCCCATAAAGCATGGCTAATCTTACAACAGTCTTATAGAACTTCTCTTTCAGTTTCATTGGTATGCGGAGTTCATAGAACTGCGGATGCACATCTCCACTTTGCCCACCCAGCACTAATTTTATGCGCGACATCTTCCTCAATCCCTCCATTCTCCTGAATTATCAACCCAAGATACTAAAAATAATCCTTTTGAGGTATTTCTTGGCCATCAATCTTAACAATTTCATCGTTTCCACTCGTTTATTACTAAACTTACATTTCATATATTTTGTCTTAATCCAACTAATCTTTAGATTCTAGAGCATCCCTCCAAAGTTCTAACTTTGCATTGACGTCGCCTCTAGTTTCATCAATCAAAACTAGATCATCTGCGGACAACATACACCACAATACCTCATCTTATAGATTCCGAGTTAACTCGTCCATAACCAAGACAAATAGTTATGGGCTCAATGATGACCCCTGATGTAAGTATACTATTACTGAAAACTAACTTCTCTCTCTATTAGTTATCCTCAACACTGGTTAGCGCTCCCTCATACATATCTCTTACCAAGTTAATATATCCTCTAAAGACACCTTTCTTTCTAATACCCAACATATTAACTCTCTAGGTACCCTATTGTATGCTTTCTCTAAATCAATAAAGACCATTTTCCTTCTCCCTAAATTCTCAATCAGTTGTCCAAGTAGGAAAATAGCATCAATTGTTAACCTCCTTAGCATAAATTTCCAGATACATTTGTTTCATATTTTAGTGTCATTGCTCAATCACTCTCTCCCGTAGCTTCATAGTGTGGCTCGAAAGTTTGTTCCCTTGTATGTCTCCTTTGCCACACCTTTTCATGAATCCTTCCAAGCATAAATAGCAGATACAATAATATATATATATATATATATATATATTTATTTATTTTATTTTATTTTTTGGCTAGAAGTAAGCAATTTTCATTAAAAAAAATAGCATATGAAAGATACACAGGGTGGTTTACATTGCAATTGAGTAGTGGAAAACAAAATTGCTAATATTATCGCCTACGGCATGGCCAGTAGCGATGAGGATTGAAGTCATGACGAAAAATCCAAACTCACACCCATGATCAATCTACAGGGCAAATTTATAACCTTGATTCTTCATGACATAATCCATTACTTAAATCTGTATCTCGGTCTTCTAGCTGCATCCCATAAGATATGATATCCAACTGAATTTGGGTACGTATCCGACTCCTGATATGAAGTCATATGGCAACCAATGTTCGCCATTTTGTCTGCTGCGGTGTTTGCTTCCCTATACGCATGTGAGATTTTCCATGAGATTTTGTTTAGGGAAGCAATAACAATTTTCCATCTAGTTTGAATACACCAAGGTACCAAACTGGATCACAAAATAATACCTAAAGAGTCATATTCAATCACGTCATTTGTGAAACACTTTCTAATGACATATTCGGCACAAAAATAAAAGCATTAAGCTCTGTGAGATAATTTGTTCCCATAGGAATAAGTCCTGAAAAAGAACCAAGCACGACTCCTGAAGAATCTCTTAATATACCTCCAAAGCCCAACCTTCCAGGATTCCACTTAGAGCATCCATCTATATTGAGTTTGACGCATCCAGACATAGGCAGAAGCCATACTACCTCCAGGATGAACGGATCATTCCCTGGATTTTGGGTTATACGAAGCCTTCTTATGAGTAATGAATCACCCACAAACTTTGCTTTGAAGTCTCTCCAATTAGAAGTTATTGAAGAGATGTGTTCCATAATCCATTTCTCTGACCATTGAATTTGAGACATTGGCCGGCCTTCATCAAATCGACATTTGTTTTTGGACATCCATATTGCAGTGATGATATGAGACCATCCAATAATCCATAGATCCTTTGTTCTGCCATGGCATCCTGGACGTTTCCATTTCGTGCTAAAAGCTTCAAAAGACACATCACAAGGAAGAGGATATCCAAGCAAATTGGAAAACGAGCTCTACATGCTATTAGCAAAAAAGCAAGTAACAAATAAATGGTCCCTAGTTTCTATGCTATTTCCACATTGTGAGCAGCATGAAACTAAAGGGATACCAATAGACCTGATTTTCTCATCAATAACAATAGCATTGTTTGCAACTTTCCAACTCATCAAGGAAACTCTGAGATGGATGCCCTTATAGCAGACCAAAGCACTCCAATATGAATTACATCCTTTTTCCCTAATGAACTCCCAAGCAGAAATAGTCGAGAATTCACCACAAATAGTATGTTTCCAAATTCTTCGATCCAGTATAGGGGCATGGGGTAAATCAATTCCAGATGCAGCTCTTAAGAATTCATTTAAAAGTGTAGAATTAACCACAGGAAAACACCATGTTTAAGGCTTACCTGAGATGAAGTGTGAAACCCTTGCTTTTGAGTTCTTGAATGCTGACAATGGAAGACCTGATTGAGAGGCAAGTGATGTATTTCCGACCCACACATCCTTCCAAAAATCAATAGATGAGCCATTTCCAATCATCCATCCACACCTTGAAATTAATTTCGGCCATACTTTTAATAAACCAGGCCTCACCAAAGAAACCTGTGACGTCGATCTCACATAAGTATCCTCCTTGAAATATTTGGCAAAAATGAACTTTGACCAAGTTGCCTTCTTGTTTAAACGTTTCAGGCCAACTTCATCAAAATAGAGAAATTAACATCTCTTAGCCTTCTTAATCACAAGCCACCTTCATTGATAGGTTTAAAGACTCTGTCCCCAGTGGAGTCGCCAGTTGGTCGGGGCCTGATTTTCTCTTATGTCCTCGCGCTGGGAGAGGGGAGAAAATCCTCTCTCAAACAACCGCAGAAGGCTCGTGCGCGAGACGCGCTGGGTGACGCGAGCGCGCGTGCTTTCTTGAACGCGAATAGGCTACCAATAAAGAGAGAGATTTTACGACGAGAGAAGGTCAATTTACTCACCTCGTTGCTGCGGGTTCGTGGGCCACGTCTAGGAAGCTTGCCCTCTTAGATCAGTCACAAAAGCCCTCCGGCTGTTCACCAGCGCGGTTTGGTCAGGGACTCTCTTCAAACGCTATTGTCCTTCTCCTTTCTCACGTTCGGATTTTTAATGGGGGTCACAGTTCTTCTCTCCTAGGTTGACTCTCTTACAGCGATGTTCTTTCGGATGATTGGACAAACGAGTGATGGGTTTCTCTGGTTTGGTCAAAATCAAAAAAGGGAGGGTCAACGATAGCGCATGTGGTTTGACCCCTTTGGTTTGTTCGCCCACACAGTCCTGCATAGGTGTGGGATTACGTATTTGGGAGAAGGGAGAGAAAGTTCCTAGAACGTTTGGTGTTTTCAAGAGAAGGGAGATGTGTGCCCCCACGGTCGGGGGTATTTCTCTCTTGGAAAAGTTTTCTCTCTCCTCCCCGTGGGGCCCTAGGATTAAGAGAAAAGACAAGCAAAAGCAACAATAATGTCTCCTCTTAATGAATTGTAATCCTCTTTTTTACAATTGACTTAAGCTTGTTTATATAGAGTTTTCATCAAACATGGGTGGATACTCAAAAACTAAGCCTAAATACAATTAAAAGTAATTAAAATAAAGTCTCGAAATTGGGTACAAAAACCAAAATGCCCTTAAACGCTTTTATGCAAAGGGCAGACTTGTCCTTTCCTGAGGAGGCCGCCGCTATTGTCAAACTTCAAAAGCTCTTTCTGGGTATTTGCAATGTGAGTTCGTTCGATGTATTGTTATATTCTTGATGTTCATTTTCTTGTGATCGTTTTGATATCTTTTGATCGTGCTGCAGCAATCTCTTCCGTGAGGGAAGGAGTCCGGTTAGTTTTCTGAACTCTTCGATGGTTTCCTTCCTGATCTACAGTGTTTTTGCGTTGATCGTGAGCCTGGGGAAGGTCTTTTCAATCGTCTTTGCAACAGGTTCTAGTTTGCTTTTTGGTCTTTGCTCTGTGTTATTGTTCGGGTTTTTCAAGAGATCACCGGAAAAAGGATTCCGACGATAGGGGAGTTTGTTTTCTTCTATGCCCTTGGGTTTCGTGCCCTTTTCTGTTTTGTTTTGAACGCCACTTGTCATGTTGACTTAGATTCCTTTCTGAAAGTGTTCTTTTGGTCTTAGTTTTCACGCAGCCGAGTTTTCTGTAACGGCCAAGTTGTCGTTCTGAAGATTCGGTCGTCAATGGATTTAGGCCGTCCTCCTTCCTTCGCAAGGCATACTTGTCTTCGCGTTTGCTCGTTAGGGGGACGGTGCCGTTGAGGCTTCGTCGGCGTGTGAGGCTTCGTCCACTCTTCTTCTGCAAGGGAGGAGTCGCGAGTTCATCGAGGAGTGGTCGGAAACCTCCATAGTCGTCGACTAGTTCGGTGAAGCCGTACGGCGAAAGCATGCCTCTACCCTATTTCGTGATGGGTCGAGCTTAACGCTGCTAGGTTGACCCGATTGACCCCGGGCCCACTTCTTTTAGAAGACGACGATAGCGGTTGTTTGGCGTATCTACCCAGTTCCTATGTTCACGGTGGCGGCATGAGACTTTGTCTCTTGGACGTGCAGGCGTTTTCCCTTGGTCGTTCAGGTTCAAGGCTTATTCTCGGCTACTATTCCCACAGGACTGTGTCGTGCGTGCCGTTATGACTAGGTTGTAGCCGGCTCTCTCTTTTATTTTTCTTGAGGGACTAAGGTACATAAAAAATGACATATAACAACTTGCCCGACGGATGTTGCGCCTCAAGAGGAGCGAGAAGCGCAATATTTGAAAAAAAAAAGTGATTTTTGACGTCAATGTTCATCGTTGGAATCCTTACTAAGACGTTCGAGAGGCCTTTAGGCCTTGTCTTGCGAGGAGACCTATGCCTTGGATAGACAGTCAAGGGGCCCTTGGAGGGTGCATGAGTCGCCTTATCGGAGCTCGGGGTTGTTTGGAGAGGCAAGGTACCTCTTCCAGTTCCCATCCTACCGGGTCCAATCGGGGTCTTTTTGTGTGGCCTATTCCGAAAAGTCTGGTTCAGTCGATAGGGAGGGTTTTCGAGGCGGTCTCTTTGGCGAGACTTCACCCTAAGTATTTGACAGGAGGTGTTGCTCGGGCTTGGCGATCATGTCCTTCCGAGGGGGGGGGGGGCATTTTTGACTTGACGACGTGACTTTCCTTTCTGCCGAAGATTGAAGGACTGTTTTTGGATTTTTAGCATTGGGGCCGAAGATTTTTGAGGAGTGGCGCTAAGGCCGGAGATTTTTGTAGTGGCGATGGGGCCAAAAGTTTGTGAGGCGATGATGGGCTGGGGATTTTTGGAGTGGCGCTAGGGCCGAAATTTTGTGAGGCGCTGCTGGGCCGGAGATTTTTGGAGTGGCGCTGGGGCCGAAAGTTTGTGAGGCGACGTTGGGCTAAAAATTTTTGGAGTGGCGCTAAGGCCGAAAGTTTGTGAGGCAGCGCTGGGCCGGAGATTTTTGGAGTGGCGCTAGGGCCGAAAGTTAGTGAGGCGGCGCTGGGCCGAAGATTTTTGGAGTGGCGCTGGGGCCGAAGATTTTTTTGAGGAGTGGCGCTAAGGCCGAAAGTTTGTGAGGCGATGTTGGGCCGGACTTTCAACCCCAGCGCAGCCTCACAAACTTTCGGTGAAACTCTAAAACAGCTAGACTATCGGCTCCAGCGCTAAGGCCGAAAGTAGGTGAGGCGGTGCTGGGCCGGTTAAATATATATATATATATATATATATATATATATATATTGAGAGAAGAAATAACAAACGAGTATATGTAGTTCACATTTCAAAACAGGGAAGATGTACCTCTCCTAAATGAAATAGAGTAGTAGCGTAGTGTTCATTGGCAAGGCCCAGTACATGCCCCTTTATCTGTAGATAAGTTAAAAGATATCAAAAGGCAAAACCAAATGCTAAAGAAGTGTGCGCACACGAGTGTGAATTAAACCATCTACATAAATAGTTCTTTGCTAGTAAAATAAAACAAAAGATTGTAGAGCGTAAGAAACTATTGCTTTTGGAGAGTATAACCACAGAAAAAGTTCAGGAAGAGATAAAATGCCAAATGGAAAGCCAAATCTTTAAACTAGTGCAAAAAGAACAGAACTAGTTCTCACCTTTAGAGCTCGCTGCTAGAAGGTACATGAAAAGCCAAGACACAACATTGTTAGTCAAAAGAAAACAAATAAAGAAGAGCGATAAAATATAATTCATTGCACTTTACTACAACCAAACAAAGAAACCAACACTCAGATTCACTAAAAAGTACTAATTTATATACAGAAACTAAATAAATGTTCCCCTTATATGAGTGATCCGAATACAACCTACGATGGTGAGATTGCCCTTTACACATATATATACATAAAAACTTGGATCATTAATCGAATCTGGCAAAAACATTGACCCAATAGAATATGTGATAAATGGTGCAAAGCAAAGAAAGGATGAACAAGGTGTCCTAACCAGTGTTGATGCTGAAAAATAATGGAAACTCAGGGGAATCACTGATTAAGAAATATGCACTGGAAAAAAAAATTCTAGCATTAAAAAAACTTTTTATTAGACAAAGTCGCTTGGAGGATTCTATGATGGCAAAACACAAGCAGCTCATCAAGTATCGAATTAGTAACTGGCACCTCTCCCATCCTCCGACTGCTGTGATGGATTATATAAATGTCATTAGGAAGATCCCCAAAGAAAACTACAATCTAGAGCCAATTGCAAACACATGATTGAGATATAGATCATAGTTGTTGGACGTGATAGTAGGGATTGTCCCTCGCAAGGAGTTTTGCGAGCAACCATGCAATAGACATAAAATGGAGAAATTTAAAAAAATAAAAGAATATTACAGGTTTTAAATAATACTTGGATGCAAAAATATTATATAAAAGTATATTTATTATACTTATAAACAAATATACTCAAATGAAATTTAATAGTAATAACTCATTAATTTGCTCAAGTCTGTAAATCCTTCATAATAATATACTAAAGATAATTATCTTGATCTTATTTAATTGCTAATAAAAGATATTAACCGTAGTAAATATTAGGGAAGATTATAGATAACCCCCCTTGACCACCTTTTCAAGGAATTGAACCCCCCCCCCCCCAAAAAAAATAAAAATAAAAATAAAAATAAAAATAAAATAAATAAATATATAAATAAACCAAAGTAATACTTTGTAAACCACACCACTAACCCCAAAACTGTTTATCTCTGCACACGAAAGTAAAAACATAGTTTTATTTAGGACAAAAATAACGCCCTTACAACACATTTTTCTCAAAGAAAAAAAATCAAACCGGTCCGGCACACGTTGGATTTATTTTAAACAATGTGTCAATATTGTTTTTGACTTGCTTCATTTTTTAAAATAAAGCCAGTTTGGCATAACGCCTTCATACCACCGTGAGCTGGCTTACATGCCCCAGTTTGCAAGCAAGTTTTAATTTTGCTTTGCCCCTCATCGAGAGACTGCATCTGGGTGCTACCTGATTTGATATTGCCATCTTCCAGAGGCACAACAGATTTTGACAAGTCATCCATCTCCTGCTGATTGTTCGGTCTCTGAGCCTTTGAATCTCGCTCAATATCAGTAATTCCATCGTTCTTATCCTGCAATATGATCTGAGATACATTAATACCATCATCATCACTCAGGTGCTAATGCTCCTGCTCATTGCCCAACTGATCGCGCTCCTGCTCACTGCCCAACTGAAGGGGGATAGATCCATCGTCAACAGCCAGCTCAATTTTAAGATCATCATGCTGGTTTTCTGTGGTGGGTAAAACACCACCTTCATCTTTGGAGGATGATAGATCAGCCACCATCGAGCCCATATTCTGGTTAGCACCGTCAATCTCTTTACAGTTCTCGCACATAGAGACGCAAGAAATGTCTCCATTGTGTTTGCCCACCCCATTTGATTGTGAGGTTAACTGCTGCTGATCAACTGTGTCTTCATTCACCACACTTGCATCCTCCTCACACTCCACACATAGTTAAAACTTAAAATTTACCAACCAAAGTTACCAAACCAGTGAACCACAAATCCACAATACACAACCAATAGGAGGAAAACAAAAGTAAGAGAAATGAAGTATATAAATTATAGACTTGCTACTTGAAGATTCAAAAGAATATTCAATCAATGGGTGATGCTTAGATCAATTTGTCATAACTTTGAGAAACCCTTCGATCCTATGGAAATCACCAAAAACTAGTTTTTTGGGGTTTTCTCTCTCTAAAATAGGCTCTAATGTGGTTTAAATTTCAAATGAACCTAAAACCCACAATTTTGCCCCTTTTATATTAAAAAAAGACCAAAAAATACCCTCAATGAGGGGTATTTCTGCCCCTAGGTGGGGCGCAAGCCGGGTTCCCTGGCGCCTAGGTAGGTGCCCAGGGACAGCCCGCCTAATTTGGCCACCTAGGCGTTGGGCAGTCCACTTTTTAAAACAATGTCTCCCTTGCTTCGAAGTCATGCAATTTCTACACCTAGGTAGTACTCAAGAGGCCAAAAATAGTTGATGCAAATTGTTAGTGAAGACGTGTCTTGAGGGAGGATATATCATCAAGATCAACATAAACAAGCAAGATATTACCTTGAGGTCTCCTCTTTACAAAGTTGGAATAATCATAATTCCTCTTTGAAATCCAACAGCAATCATAGCCTAACTGAACCCACCAACCACTCTCCGGGTGATTGCTTAAGGCCATAAAGGCCTTTTTCAGACGACTGACCTTATGGGAGGCCTTGGAAGAGCCTGGCAAACACAGGCATCTCACATTTACTTCCACTTCTAAGCCTCCATGAAGGAAAGAATATTTGACATCCAGTTGAGAAAAGGACCACCATTACATGCGCCAATTAATAGAAGAACCCTAACAACTCCCGTCTTGGCAACTGGTGGAAAAGTTCTTGATAATCAATTCCAGAATTCTGAGTGAAACCCTTGGCTATAAGTTGGGCCTTGTACCATTCAATGATTCCATCAGGCTTAACTTCAACTTGAAGGCCCATAGGCTAGCTGATGCCCTCTTCCAAAGGGGAAATCCATTGTCTGATGTACCATTCTTCTAAGAGCTTGGATTGTTTCATCCACTGCTCTTTCCCAAAGTTGTGAAACACGGATTTGGCCTTCATGGCAAGCACACAGAAACTTGGCTGCCCTAAGGTGTGAGGTTGGGGGGGAGGTGTGTGGTTGGGTGGGTTGGGGGTGTGGAGGGCGAGCATGGGTATTTGAGAGCAAGGGAGTGTGAAACTCCTAGTTCGTGTGCATGTGCATGAGTATGTGTGTGTTTCGAGAGAGTTCCCAGGTATTTCAAATCAACAATTAGGAAAAAAGAGGAAGTTTGTGGTGGTGAAAAAGCATCCAGACTTAATTACATGAATATTTCCTTCCTATGGGATTCCCTTCGTATCTCTCTATCTCTTCTGTTTTGTACTTGTTTTTTGGTCCTAGGTAGGCAACCAGGTATATGCCCAAATAGGACCCCATCCAGGGTCCTTTGGTTCAGAAGTATAAGAAACAAACCTATTCAACAGGATGACACACTCTTTTATTTTTTGTATGGCAATTAAAAGATCCAAGTGACATGGAGAAGAAATACCAGGTGAGGAAAATACGGTGCTAGTGGACTAGAGAGGGGTAATCACGGGATCATCAATCACTACAGTGTCCTTAGCAGTGGTTGCCTGGGTCTTCTTTACTATATGGGCCTTTCTATGATATCATGTTCACTAAACTAAGGTGTGGAAGAGGGTAGTCCTAGTTAATCACTATAGCTAAATCCGGACAATGATGCAACCCTTTTGGGATTTTCTTGAAAATAACTACCATTTTCAACAAAGATCACATGCCTAGACACAGTATTTCTTCTTTGAATATAGCACTTCTAGATACACTTTTCAAGTAAGAGAGTAACAAACACACTCCATTAAGCACGCATCCAACTTGTTCCTAGTTGCTTCATCAAGGAGTATCTAAAGACACACATATGAGACCAATTCGGTCATTTAGTTATTAATTATTCAATTGGACTATGTGCCAATAATAGGAGGGGACAATCTGTGTACAGGCTGACAATGAAAGAGTAAAACACAAAAAGGCCTTAACAAAGTGCATGAAAATCATCGGACTTTATATAGTTTCAAAGATAAGCCTTCACCCTGCAACATTGTTTTGTCGTGGTGTTGCAGCACAAGAAGTTTAAAGCATTTTCTTGCAAATACTGGTTCATGTATTTGTTCGCATACTCTATTTCACTATTGGTTCTAAAGATTTTAACTTTGGCATTGAACTGAGTGATGTCTTGCCCGAATGAATCAGTTGGTACTAGAAATGTTACAAAAACTGAACAAAAAGAGTAGGGAAAATTATAATATTTCAGAAGCTGACAGACTTCATGCAGAAAATAATATGTTCTGAAAGGAAACAGACGACAAGAGATTCCTGAGGACTGGACTTGATGGTTGCCCCAAATAAATATGTCAAAGATCACCTCTTTATTTCTGATACTAAAGTTGCTAGTGCCTTGCGATAGATGTAGGAACCACTGTCCTCATACCCCTCCCTAATCGTCTTCCTGGAACTCTGAAAGAAACAATGAGATGGAAAAAAGTTACACTGCAATTCGGATTTTTAGTAATGCCGCTGACAGAGAATATGTTACATTGAAACGAAGGAACATGGAGTAAGGCTTAGAGTAGGATCGAGATTCACGAAGCCCACACCCATAACGGATGCAAGAGAGTCATTCAACAAGGGAAACTACCTTGGAATCAACAAGGTTCTCTGAGTGAGGATAAATTAAGGGAGCTTACCAGGCTTACCAATCACACATTTGAAGGTGCAACAAGGAGGGATTGATGCTTACCTATTGCCTACGATACAGTTGCACATATAGAGGGTTTAACGATTTCCTTTCTCAGAAGGAGAGCAATGAGTTGTTGATCTTACCATCTGACGAGTTCCCTAAGGAGTATGCCACTTGGGGGGCAACAGGCTTGGCTTCGCTGTTTGGTCGTATTATTGGACATCCATGTAAAGCATGACACCTCATGACACCTATCCTTCATATGCCCCAATCAATTGCAATGCTCATATTTAGGTTGTACTCTGACTATGCTCATGTCCTTTCCTACATGCTATTTGAAAAACAACAATAAAGGCAAGACTAGGGAACTTCGAAACATCCCTCTTTTTTTTGTTACGCTTTTCTAAACAGCATTCATCAATGGTAATTTCTCGGCGAACAGTATGTGTATGGACCATGACATGATCATCATTAAAGCCAGCTAGGATTAAAAAATATGCCTCTTGTCAACTTGCCGTTTTCATTTCAGGATCGCAATCAAGCACTAACATGACAAAGGCTCATAAAGCTTGAGTTCCTCCATCATGCTTTTTGAGTATTCTGCCAAAAAATGCCCTCCTTGAAGCATAAGGCTATATCCTATGAAGCTAGTATGCCCGGGCAATATTGTCTCTTTGATAAAATTGCTTTTTGAAGTCTCCTGCATTTCTTTGGCCAAATCAAGGAAAAACAATCAGCTCTAATGGTTTTATCTATAGAACTTAGGATTATATGATGCCATCCATTCTTGCTTAGGGTCAAAAGGATACTGGCACTTGGATGTTCCATCCATGTGCATGATCTTGTCATTTCCCTTATCATTGCGATGAACTTGACTCATATAAAGGAGCTCTTGTCATTTAACTTGACACAAGCAATTGCAGGGCCATTGGATCCCTGAGGCTATATTTCTTTGATGAAACAACTTCTTAAAAGAAAATCTAATTAATGGAAGCCTACCCAAACAAGTTATTGCAGTCTTCTATAATCTCTGAACACTTAGGATTAGTCTTAAATCTTAATTATTTTTGGCAAAAGGTGCAAGTATTTGATCATTGCAAAACCCTATGGATCCCCCAAACTTCAAACTCAATATTTGAGAAAGATGGTTATAGTTGTTGATCACTGCAGTTGTTGGTCACTGCTCTATAGAATGCAAAGTTTGTGGGTCTACAACACTAGGAAAGAAGGGAAACAATGGCTGCAAGTAAGAGAATAAAAAACAAGAGAGAAAAAAGGAGAGAAGGCATGTTTAGAGTAAAAAATAGCACGCAAAGTGAGAGATATGGGTTATTCTAGGCAGCACCACTTCATGATGAACTTAGAATTTTCTATTCCAAAAATTTTGACCATAAAATGCCCTTATATGTTTAAAGATGATTGTTTGCTAGACTTTTGACTGTGAATAGTTCATATATTTTTGGAAGGGTAATTTTCTCATTCACGCACCCTCCGAATGTCATTTTCAATATTCCTTTGACTTTTTGAATTATGTTTAAATTTTTATTTTATTTCTTTTAATATGTATTGAATCATGTTTGAATTTTAAAAGCAATTTTAAAAGATGTAATTTTCTTAAAAATTTCAAACAAGTTATTGCCAATGCAATTTTTAGATTTGTAAGGGCATTTTGTGGTTAAAATTTTGGAGTAGGAAATTGTAAGTTCACTATTACAATGGTGTAGCTTAGAGCAACCCTTTATGTAAAACACATAATAAGTTACAAAGGACAATTTTGTCATATAGAAATTACAAAAGGACAAATCAGTCCCAAAGAATGACAAAACAGTACTAAAGAAAAAGAAATCCCACACGTCCTTAGAACTAAATATACAAAGATACACACTCTCAAACACTTCTATTTACCCCACTAAGGACGTTATACAATTTAGAGAGTCCTTGTGCAAATTTTATAAATGCTATAAACATAAGATATATGAAATAGTGATAAAACGGTAGTTGTTCCATTCCTTTTATCTCTATCTTGTTTCTCCTATTCAACATTGTTATGAGGGCCAGCACCAATTCAACCCTTTTTCATTAAATAATCTACTAAAATAACAGTATGAATATAAAAAAAAAAAATTGAAACCTTAGAAAATGCATACCATGTATCTCTATAGTAAATTAACTGACATTCCCATTAATGTGAGCATGTTTAGATCGGATCACTATAGTAAATTAACTTGCATTCCCATTACTGTGAGCCTGTTTAGATCGGACCACAGACAAGTCAAAGTTTCTGACCTCATAGCACATCCTGGCCTGTTCAAGTTTTCCCTGAAGAAGATAAAAGCCCCCAAGGTTGTGAAAAGCGAAACCTACACTGCATTAATCCATGGATGTCATATCCCTTGACCAGAAGAGAACCAGGACCTCTCCAACTCAGGAAATGGCATAAAATATTCAACATGCAGTCAGAAACATTCACTTACAAAGTTTGGTCCATATCTTGCCTAAGCTACTATTTTACTTTCCAATTTGCAAGTTAAATATAAAGAGATCCATGCTTGCCTTCAGGAATGCAATGATTCCTGAGCAGAAGTGCAAAACTTCTAATTACACTAAGAAAATTTGAAAATCCCAGATCTATTTTACCGTATATCGTCACACCCTAATGACTTGTCTAGAATGTCAATAGCCTCCAGATACAAGGGCTCGGCCTTCTCAAATTCCTTTCTTATCCTGTACAGCTCTGCCTGCAATAAGGAACAGGAGTAACATTAATTTCCTAATCATTGTTATAAACAAAACTCCAATTATCTAGCCTCTGTGTTACCAAGAACTAAGGATGAATCCAAATGGAATATGATTTCAACTGGCATAAAAACAATAAGCACAGGGCAATCCTTTGGAACTTTGAATATAAAAATATAATATGGTTATAAGAATCTAAGCATCATTTACAAAATCAAAATAAAGCCCACAATTACTTTGCAAGTTTCAAACAAGCATCACATAGAAAACCTATATGTAAGTTCCAAATTGTGATGCAAATCTCTTGTTTAAAAAGCTATCAATGCCAAAAAAATTAGATTCCTTTAACAACGCACATCTATAGTTAACCACTACTATGCAATAAGAACTAAAAGACCTAACGGAACAGGTCCCTGGCAAAATAAGGATTGTTGTACCATATACATTGCAAAGGAGCTTCATACCAGGTTGTTGCATGCAGATGCAACATGTGGATCCCTTTCCCCAAACCCATCTTTAGCTTCTTGCAATGCTAATATGAAATAGTGTTCTGCTTCATCCAGTTTCCCCTGAAACAAACATTCTAGTCATTCTTCAAGGAAAGTTAGTGCAGAAAAATTCAACTCATATGAGAATATATCTATCGCAAGAACAATGAATATTTGAATGCAACAAAGCAACAGGTACATGCTTGCAGAAAGAGTTCCCTCCCCTTATCCGTGAAAACCCTCCATTTGGATGTATGTTCATTAGATATAACCGAACTATCTTCAATTCTACGAAGATTAGATATGTAAGCTTCCCCTATCTCATTTGCTCCAGTGGCTTGTTCAGCAACAGAAATGTCCTCTGCATGAACATGACTAACATGCATCCCCAGCATTATCACTGCAAATACAGGTAGCAAAACATGAATTTCTTGTAGTGAAAATGGAATGCCTGCTGTAAACTACTGTTATGATGAGAAACAATTGAAACTACAAAAAATAGACAATTTGAACCCAATATCACCCATTCTAGTTTAAGAGAGCTTAAATGTGATCAGAACATTCAAGAGCAAAGAAAGTTTCTTGGAGAGGGTGGTCTCTTTGAGAGGATTCAAGGCATATCTCTATCACACTTTTGGAGTTCAGATGACCAAATTTGAAATAGAACGTGCTACAACATCTGAGTTCCAAGATGCATGAATTCAAAAAAGATATACAAGCCTCAAATCATCCAAAAGGGGCTTTTGATAAATCTGAAACTGATGAAGTATTCTTTACTTTTATTTTCAGCCATTTGGATTCTTGTCCCCTAATTTGTCAGCCATTTCCGATCTGATTCATGAGAAAAACCCGAATCATAGTTAGATTTCGGAAAGAGTAAGACAAGCACTTGAGAATAAGTATTCCATTTAAGAAGATTTCTAGGAATACGTCACGTGTGGTAGGTAAATGTCTGACTCAGTTTGGAACATGTCATTCAGCAGGCTTGTTGAGAATATGTCCTTAGTTCAAAAACCTTGTTTCATGAATGATTACGTTTCTGCTATTTTAAATTAAAAATAAGAAAATATAAAAAGGAGATCGATATCAAAGTTGCCCATTCGATAAAGAAGCAGCATATATACCAGCATGACCAGATAGTAGGATCCAAAGAGGAAGGTTCTTAGCATGCTTTCTCCAAGTGAGATGTCTGAAGCCGGATTCCAAATAGGACTTTCTACAATCTACAAATACACGAAAAAGTTAAGGGCCACAGAGTATCACATTCAGAGCTATAACATGAACAATTCAAGCATTTAATTTGAACATCTGGAATAACAGATCAACATGCTACCCAGAAAAACCTTCTCAAAAAAAAAAAAACATGCTACCCAGAAAACTCACCTCCATTAAACAAAAGGCTTAATGTTTTGAGCTTTAAAGGAAAAAAAAAAAAGAGGATAAATGTATCCAAACAAAATGCCAAAAACGGATTGCATCAATATACAAGAAAAAATATTGAAACAAGAAAGGTATCAATAGTCGTCAAAGAACAACATTCAACAAAAATTGGAATAAGAACTAGAAAAGAAGATAGAAATTACAAACTACAAACTAATCTAACTGCAAGTGAAGACATTAAAGACATTAAAGAATATCGTGATTGTGAGATCGCTTATCAGTGAGCACAATCACGGATGAAGAACGCAAATGCATCTGATAAACAAGGTGGTCTAATGCTCAAAGCCATGTCTTTAAAGACCCGAGTTTCTTGTGAAAGATATATTTTGATGACATGCATCTGTATTACGTGGATTCTTGTACAAGAGTTCCATACTTGTGTTAAAAGACATATCAACACATGTATGGGTACAGATTTGCCCGGATTCATCAAGATTCTTCATGGTCAAGAATCCTGGAAATGAGATTCTTGATTAACCTAGACACCACGAATCTGACATGTCTAGATTCTTCTCATGACGTATAAGATTCTTCTCCCATAATGTTTCGGATTCACCGGGATTGTTCATGGTCAAGAATCCCAGAAAGAAGATCCTTCATTAACCCAAACACAACGAATTTGACATGTTCGGATTCTTCTCATGACAAGTCGGATTCTTCTCCCCAGCAAATCCTCCAATGAAACCTATAAACATAAAGCAATACAAATCCCATACCAAGATATCAATTTTTTTGAAGAATAATATAACTATGAAATTAAGGAAATGTATAAAAATACCTATGAGAGATGACTTGTTTAACACTTTAACCATGTAGTTTGATTAAATCTCAAACTACCCATCAAAAGACATATGAACATGAGTTGGAATGGTAACAAATATTAAATAGTGAATCTCTCATGGATATTTTGATAAATTTCCCATGAAATTATTATCATTTTCTCTTCCTTTCTCTCTACTTGGTAATTTCTCAAAGCTCTCTCTCTCTCTCAACTTTTTGGAGAATAATAGAAACCCCAAAAGTGTCCAACTTAAGCTTCCACCACCTCTCTCTCTCACACAAAATTTTTGAAAAAGAACAAAAACTCCAAAAGTGAAATTCAAAAATAAAAACTTGCTGTTTTTGCTAGACATTCAAAAACATAATAATAAAAATACCTTGTTATGCTATGCATTCAATAACAAGAACCACATTTAATTTCCTTTTTTGCTGCAAATTCCAAAATGTAGTTTCTTTTCCTTTTTTTCTTTTTTTTCTTTTTTTTTTTTTGGCTTTTGCTGAACATTCAATGACAAAAATAGATATTTCTTTTGATGCTATGCAGCAACAACAAACATCACATTTATTTCCTATTTTTCCCTGAAGTAGAAAATAAGAACTTGTTGCAAATTCATCATCATCATCTACATGCTTTATATGTCAATGAAACCTACTTATTGAGACTCAAAGAATCTGACACCTTGTACTCATGTCTAACACCAACACCATACCTGTATCCATGCAAAAAAGACACATGAACCACAAAGGCACCTACAGTAGATAGGACATTGCGAACCTAAAGGGGCCATGGTGGCCAGCCATTCATGGGTACATGAATCCAAGCATGCAAGCACTCCCAAAGAGAGATGCAATAAGGAACTTTCTGATGTTCTATGCTCTTGTCTATGAGGGATAAAATCACCTACATGAGACATAGAGGATAGTGGTGGAAACAGATCTTAGAGAAGAGCCAAGTGAGGAAGTGCACAGCTTGAGGGCAATTTATCTAAAAGAAAATGGACAAAATGATTCGATATATTCAGCGAGCTGACATTGTTTCATTTATGATGGAGAAGCCTAATATTTGATAACAAAGAAAAATATAACAAATACCCAAATCACTAGATGGGTTCCAATTGATCATTTCCGTAAGCTTATTTTCAATGGCAGTTCCCTTGGGACCCAAGGGATTTAGGTCTGTTAGGCATTTTTTAGGGATGGTATTGGAGAGTTCACTTAACTTTCGGAGGAATACGAGCATGGGATGATTCTACTATCCTTAAATTGGAAAAGCTAACAAACTAGTCTCAGATTGATCCCTTAGGGCCAGCTTGGATGTCAAAGGAAAAAATATTCACAGCAAAAAAAATACAAGTTTTTTCCACCTCAATTGGAAAACATTCTCATTTTATTTTATTATGTTGGTAAACTGAAGTCTCTCTATGCACTTGTTGCGTATGCTATCTTTGCACAACTGCTTCTGCTATGAATCTTCCAAGGATTTAATAGGTGTTTGTGGCCTTCACAAAATTGCTCAGAGAAGAATGAGAAGAGGCTTGGAAAGTTGATTCACCAGAAGAATAACCAAGCCCTTGCTTGAACCTTGCAGCGCCCTCACCAAACTTGCTTAATGCCTCATATATGTCTTCGTAGAAATCTTCAAAGTGTTCTTGGAGTTTTTGGGGCTCCATGGCTGGTCGATTATGAAGACCAAACTTGCTTAATTCTCTGATACATGTTAGAGAGAAGTAGAGCGGGGCTTATGGTTGGTCGATTATGAAGACGAGAACATCGATCACCATGCTTGCAAGCTCCAATCTTGAAATAGAATGGGCAGTTAACCATGTCCTTCTCTGTACCAAATATTGAAGCCAAATGCCCATCCATTGATGGAAGGCCTAACTTGCAGAAAGCCTGAGTTGAAAAAGCCCTGAATTGTAGAGACCCTAAATAAAATTTCAAAAACCACTGGAGTCAAGAAGCCCAGATATGTAAAACCCTGATGATGCAGAGTCCCAAGGTTTCTGATTCCCGCCATGAAAACCCTAAATTCCAGAGACCCTGAATGAAAGCAGTATTATTGATGAAATTCCGATAACCCCAACTTGCATTTATCAGGTGTGGAAAGAAACCATGAATTGCAGAGGCCTGACATGCACTTTCTAGACCCGAAACCCTAACTTTCGGAAAGCTCAAATTTCTTCTTTAGAGTGTCTAGTGTTCTCTCTCTAGATCCTCCTCCTCCTCCTCCTCTCTCTCTCTCTCTCCTCTCCTCTCTCTCTCTCTCTCT